AGATGTACCCTTGTCGAGTTAGGTTTTTCATGGAACACGCCTATTGTTAAAATCTATGAATATGATAAATATCAAATATTGATAATTATCAAGAAATGTTTAAACATAAAAACAACATCTTTAAATCATTATTAAAGTTTGTTTGTTTTTTGTTTTACTCAATGATTTTAGTTATTTCTAGTAAGTCGAAAAATATACTGTTCTGTTCTCTGTCGATTAGGATGTTCAATAGGAAGAATTTTTTCATAAATAGTTAATGCAAGTAGATAATTGTTAAGTGCCATCGGTGACTGATTTAGATTTTCATAACACATACCAATATAATTTAAACTATCAGCAATATGAATATGATTAGATGAATAAAATTTCTCATCAATTTTTAATGCTTGTTGATAATAGTTAAGAGCTTCATCATATTGTCTTAGATCAAAGAGAATATTACCAATATTACTAAGACTTATAGCAATATCAACATCATCCGATAGATGTAATCTCTCTTTCATTTTCAATGCTCGTTGATAATAATCGAGAGCTTCATGATGTTTTCGTTGATTAGCAAGAACATTACCAATATTATTGAGAACATGTGCAATAGTGATATGATCAGATGAATAAAATCTCTCATTGATTTTCAATGCTCGTTGATAATAATCAAGAGCTTCATCATATTTTTGTTGATTAGCAAGAATATTGCCAATATTATGAAGAACATATGCAGAATCTTTAATTCGTGCTGGTTCATTTTTCATCATACAATCATATGCATGATTATAATATTCTTGAGCTTCATTCAATTTATTTTTAAGATGAAAAATTTTACCAATATGAAATTCAATCCAAGCAAAATCTTCATCATTTGAATCATTTAATAAATGTTCAAAATATTTTTGTGATTTATCATATTCACCTAAATCAGATAATAAACTTCCAAAAATAATTGAAATATTTAATTCTTCTTTTTCTTTTTGTTTTAATTCAAGAAAATTTTTTGTTATTTTTTGTCCTTCATTTGAAATATTCATTTTAATAATTTTTATTAATTCATTTTCATCTATTGATTCAATTTGAAAACATGTATTAAAATCAAATAATATTTCTTGTTCATCAAAATTTTTATTATATTGATTAATATTAATAAAATTAATATTTTTATCAATTTGTTTAATATCACATTGTATATGAAATAAAACTGAAATCATATCAAGTTTTTTTGTTGATTTTAATGCAAAATTTAATGCTAATGATAATTGTCGTGTTGTAGATAAATATCCATTTATTGATATAAATTTTTCTTGATTATTATTTTTTAATTTATTAAATTCATCTTTATGAAGTTTAATTCCTCGATAAACATTTAATATTTGTTCATTTAATAAAAAAATTTTTTCATGTTCATATTGAAAATTAGCTGAAAGATCTCTAATAAAATATCGAAGTTTATATAATAAATCAATATCTTTAATTATTAATGCTTTATTAATTAATTTATAAATAAATGATTTTTTTAAATACCAAAATATTGCATCTTTTGATTCATAATTTTGTTCAAATTCATAAATTAATTTCATTTCTTTTTGATTTCCACGATAATATTCTTTACATATTTGAATCATTTGACGTTTTGCTTGTTGATTATATGGTAAATAAGGTATAATATATTTAAATAATTGAAACCAAAGAAATTCTGTTGATTGTTTAGATAAATCATTTATTAATATTTCATGTGGATTAAAAAATGAAAATGTTTGTATTTGTTTATTAACAATATCAATTTGTTGTTTTATTGATTGATATAAATCATTAAAATTTGTATAAATTCCAATTATATTTAAATATTCATATAATAAATAATCATAACGAATTTTTTCTTTATTAAAAATAAAAATAGAATCAATTTGATGATAATTAGAAATTTGAGATAAAATTTTTGATGCTTCTAATGCTGATATAATTAAAAAAATTTTTTCATTATCAATTGATTGAATAAATGAAATACATTGTTCAAAATCAATAGAAATAATAATATAATCATTAATTAAACGAAGTTGTGTTGTTTGTTCAATATTTTCATGTAATCCAATATTTGAATCATACCAAATAAGTGTTATATTTTCTTTATTTTCATTATTTATTGTATTTAATAATTGATTAGATGAAACATTATTTGTTGTATTATTATTATTCACTGAAAATACTTCTGTCATAATTATTGACATAAAAGTTTTTCAACAATGAAATTCTATTTCACAATAAAAAAAGAAGAAAATAAAGAATTATGAAAAGAATCAACGAATATTGAAGTGAATAAATATTTCCTTCAACCAACATCACATGTATTAGTTTCTTCTTTTTGGTATTCTCAAGACGCTGTATACGATGTTCTGATACAGTCAAATATAACTGCAGAGATATACATTGTGTGTTTCAACTTATAAACTTCTATTCGAATGTATTTTAAGACTTCGAATTAGGATTGTATTTCTCAATGTGATATACGGAAAACTAGGATAATACTATAGATGCTTGCTGAACCTTGATTTGTTTCGTACTTATTACTGCTTAATGAATTATTTTTCTTGTTATTTTTATGGTATCGTTAATTCGACATAAAATCGAAATTTTTTTCTGTAGTTGGATAAAGCTCATCTGATAAATTCTATAGATATTGTAGCATAGTTTACAAATAAATGATCAAAAAAGAAACATCAGGGAAACCTATAAAAAAATGAAGTACACCAAAAGCATTATGTCACGCTTATGAGGGAACATTCCCAACTGTTACATCGTTTTTGAGTCGAGCGTTTGCGCATCATGTAGATCCTAATGATTTATGAATACTCTGAAAAAAGTTCGTGCCGCTAGCTTATTACGGTCGAGATATTGTATTTTTCATGTATGTTTAAGCAAAAAACCGTGTAGAATAGTTTATTGTGAAAGTTTTAGATCTTTTGATTGCTCCTAGTCTGAAATACGAACATCAGAACCTGCTGGTGTATATAAGCAATTTTACTATAGCTCAGGGGCGGCGGAACGTTTTGAAATTAGGTGAGGCTCATGCACTTTAAACCAATTGTTTTTGATGAGATGGTTGCTCATGTATTAAAATAGGGTTAGTTCCGAGGCTTTCAGGTGATTAGCCATTTAAGACTTCAATTTCGTACTGCCAAAAGAAGTCCTTTATCTTCTTCCATTCTCTATGAGTTGAATTCCTGAATCTATAGTGGAAAAGAAGAGTTCCAGTAAAAGTTAAGATTTGTTTTATTGAAATAGTGACAACAGCCCAAAACAGTTTTCATTTTTCTTACGACACTATAAATGTTAGCATGATTTATTTTAGATCTGCATCGAATTGTTTTTATTTAAATAGATCACTAAACATTGATTAAACTATAACAGCTCAAAGAGTCTTTATTCATTGGATTTGATCTTGAAAATTCTGTCAATTATTAGTATGATTATCAGAATAGATAACTCGTGTAGGCCGAACGCTTACAACAATAAACTTTACGACATGTGGTTGCAAAAATATGAAAAGACAAAAAGACCTCCAAAATGAAACATGAATAGTTATCCAGATTAAGCTACTCTCATACACAATTTATTAAAAATACTAAGTTCTTAGTTGCTTGCTAAATGAGAAAATAGATTCGTCTAAACTTCAGCCTATTTTTAAAAATAATGTGCAGGTTTGTTTCCTGTTGCCATCACATTTCATTATTGTATGACAAGAGCGAGTAAATTTCGAAGTGACTTATATTGCTACGATATAACCCTAAAAAAAACTCTTCCTTTCAAGAAAATTTTGTAGAGCTAGAAGAAGAAAAAGCTTCACAATATGGTAATAGTCGAAATTCGCAATCGCTATTCCTGAGATAAGCTACTCATTGTTATGAAAAATGTCTCTTCTCACTTTATTAATTGGGTAACTAATCTCTAATCGATTTGGAAAATTCTCGAAGAATTTATACACTATTTAAAATTTCATGCATTGCAGAAAGTTTTTGATATGTTTTGTTCTCATCTCACTCATTTCATGCTCGATTAAGGAGAATAATCTAATCATTTTCTAGCACAAGTAAAGGCTATCATATAAAACGAATACAGAATCCGAGATGTTCATGTTCTGATCAACTTTGGCGAAATTTAATTTGGAAGGAGTCTTAGAGTATATTGAAGATAAAATTTGAATTCATACCGTCTCATCTCTCAGACCATGAAACATACTTTGAAAATTAATAATAGACAAGAACGACGAGAAGTGACAGATTCCGACAAAAATTTTGATTAAGTAACCAACTAATGTCTAATTAGTCAATGCCTAATTAACTACTAGTAGTGTGTGGTTATTATTCTCGTACTAAGTGATTCTCGAATAATTAATGCAGAAGTTAACGAAAATACTGGTTGAATGAAACTATTCCGTCCTATGCGAACATTGTGACAGACGTTATTGAATTCTGTCACGAACGGTAACGAACTCAGTTGAGATAAAATTCAAGGAGCATATTAATAGCATTTTATTAGAACGTGAGTTCGTTTATTGTTGAAATCGTAGAGAATGATTTGGAAGATAGTACAATGTTCTAAATACATGAAATACAAAGAAATATTCTGTGACTAAATTTCAGTGGCAATATGCTTTGCATTTGAATTCTGTAAGAATTGCATTAGCAGCTCGTCAGACGTCATTTAGTGAATATTTTTATTGAAATCATATACCATTGCTAAGATTGCAGTTCAATAAATAAAATGAAGGTAATTATACTCCATCAGAGAATAGAAAACAATCGAATTATTAGATATTATTTAGATTGTAAATCATGCTATCAAATAATTCTACTAATTATTCATTTATTTGGAGCATCACTATACGAATGTAATATAGAAAGCGTCAATCTGAATCATGACAACACAATTAATGGGTTCATTATTGTTTCAGATCGTCTGTTCTTTTCATTACTAAATATAAATAAAACTCTCGAACTTATTGAAATTTTCAATTTGAAAAATGACTCGCATCACAAATATGCTTAAAATTGAAATTGACTGATTGTGAAATCGATAATTTAACTGATCTTCAGTCTGTATGAGCTAAAATCAGGTGAGGCTGAGCCTACAGAAGCCAAAAACAAGTGAGGCTCAAGCCTCACTGGGCCTACAGGCTCCGCCGCCACTGCTATAGCTGTATCTTACGATAGGAACAATAAAAAGATTTGAAACTTTCACAATAAACTATTCTCATTGAAGCTAATCTCTATGCAAAGTTTCAAGTCGAAATTCGAAATTCAAGTTTCCTAGTGTTCCTGAGGGGACCACGGCTTTTTGCTTAAACATACAGTAGAAATACAATATCTCGACAGTAATAAGCTAGCAGCACGAACTTTTTTCAGAATATTCATAGATCATTAGAGCCTACATGATACGCATTTAATCTATTTTCACCTTTTAATTTTCTTCATCAAATAGTTAAGAAGAAATCTATGCAAATTTTTTTTTTTTTAAAGTAATATTTGATGTTGAAAGAATGGACTTTTTCAATCATGATATCCATTGAATTGTCTACTTAATACTTTAAACAAATTATTTTATTGAATGTCGATCTTAGCATTGAGTATACTATCTAATGCAGCTATTTTTAATGATCATGAATACTTTTGTTCGTTTCATTTGAACTAACACGTCTTATTGTCAAAATCTCTGAAAATGAACTCGTATTTGTAGAGTTTTGTCATTATATTGAAAAAATAGTTTGTCACACAAAAAAATAAAATTGGATAAGTATCGAACTTAACGAGACTTGATACTTTTAACTTATGTCAGTTTTAAAATAGTTTTATGACTGTTTTTTAAATTTATTTTTTTTGTAAAGTTTTCATTACAAAGAAAAACACTATGTCGATATATTAATGCAATATTTTAAGAATTAACTCAACGCCCTGCATATAACGATGGAAAAAAAAATCAACTTTTACTTAACTTATGAATTGTCGTCATCTTACAAGAAAGAAAAAAACTCTATCAAATTTGAAAACTGTTTTTATTTCTTCATTTTTCATGATTCTTTTTTTCAATGACATTAATAATGAATGGATATATATAATTTTGCAGCTGAATTTTGATTTATTTTACAGTAAATTGACCAAAGAACAGACTGAAACTGTCAATACAAAAAAAAAAATATGTTAATGATTTCTTTTTTCAAAATGCTTTACTAAAGAAACGAACAAATCTTAAGTTTCTTTTTTTTTCTCTTTATTTTTCGAAAAATAAACCTTGAGATGAATTATTTACATTATTTTGCATATTTTTTTCAAGGTAAAACTTTAAGTTGAACATTAAATGAAAAAAACAGAAAATGATGTTATGTATAAAATCAATCAACAAGATACATTGATAGCTAAGGTATAAAACAGAAGCTCTTTAGCGTAACAATGGAATTTTTCAAAAAGTTTGCATTGATATAAGCACTTTTCATCTTTTGCATAAATTTTACCGTATCGTTACCTTGATCTAAACAAACAGCCAGTTACAATTAGTAAGGATTTATGTTATATCACACTACATTTAAATTTAAAATGATGTTTTAAAGATTTATTTATTTTCATCGAAGATGTTAGAAGAAACATACATTTCGTGTTGAATAATATTTTCTTTATTATTCTAAGAAACAGTAGAGGTGATGGTACTGTTTACTTTACTTCAACATACAAAAGTTAAGAGAGATGTTTTCGTCAAAGAAGGTCTATTTTCCAAAAGTAATGGTATCTTATGAAACTTGACTTAAAGTTTTGAAGGTCGAATAATTCAAATTGATAACTTGTTTTTCGAAATTTAAAAGTTCCATTTTTTAGGTTTTTTAACCTCAAATTTTAATTTGATTAGTCAAGTTTCAAAAAAATTTGTTATTTTCAGAAAATAAGCTTCCCTTTATCGAAGACTAGATTCAAATTTTGGAGAAATCAGCCCTAGATTCAGATTCCTTGGTCCAAAAGTCTTTAAAATAATTTTCTATCGTTTTAGATAGGATAATGAAAACTGAATTATGTTGTTACAGATAACAACAAATATTTGAAAAAAAGTTTTTGTTCTAATTGAGAATTTTTCTTATTTATTCTTTATTTATTATAAAAATATATTAATTTTCTTAACGAGATATGAACTTCTTTTTTCTTCGCTTATACTTTTATCAGAATACTTTTTTCATTGATTAGTATGT